CCAATTGATCATTCCTATTCCCTTGACCGTTTCCACCACACACGACAACACCATCGGACAAACCTAGGGGCCATAGGAATACTGAATGATTGCCACTATCTGATGCATATAAGTTAAAACTAGCATCGACATAAATACCAAACGAATATACGCCAGAAGCTATGGCAACACCAGTTTGTTCAACAAAAGTAAATTTTAGTATAGGATAATTGTTAACATCCGAAACATAGAGATTTTCAAAATTATCAATAAAGAGACTTGTGGGAGAGGCTACAGAAATCGTAGAGACTCTCGAGGCTGAAGTCCATTTTGAGATGAAACCATTTCCAAATTCCGCCACATAAATATTATTCGAAGCATCAACAACCACATCAAGTGGCTGACTCAGAAGATTTTCATAACTATTATGATTATAGTTATAGCTAAGAGGTGTCATAGTTTGTCCACTTGCCGCCCATTGAGCCATTGAACATACAAATATATCTGTGGAAGATTGACCTTAAGCAGATGAACAATGATCTGAAGATAGGACTTATGACTTCAGAAAAGAGTGACGAGGGAAGATTCCTAAGTGATCCACTTCGGTTTTGTGCAGTCTTCCGTACATCCTACTTCAAAAAGAAATTCTGATTAAGCCATTCAAAAGAGCATCAAATACTGAGTAAGATAAAAGTAGTCTGGAAATTAAATGAGAGAATTTGACCCATCTTTTAGTCCGAAAATCGACATCATTGATGATAATTCTTTTTGTATCTTTTCTGTATCGTGGTGCAAATATGGAGACCTATCTCATTCGAAAGAGAATTCGATTCTGAACAAGAATATCACATTTAAATATTTTCAAACATTGGTGCGAACTCTAAAAAAGGGTTTCTGGAAACTGAGATCCAAAAACCAATTCTCTACGTTTGACCAAAAGCTTCACGCGATAGAGCAAGCATTTCTGAACAAAATGAGATGTCTCCGATTTCTTCATGACCATTCTTCATCGAACTGCGCTAAATTTGTGAAAGACTTCAAAGGTATTTTTGTATTCTCTTTCAAAAATTTCACGGATGCTGTATTTGACGGTTCGAAGCCTTTCGTACATTGAGCGCGGTTCGATGAAGAATGATCTTGGAGAAATCGGAGACGTCCATTTAATCAGAAATGTTTGTTCTATTGAGTGGAGCTGTTTGCAAGAAGGTTTTAGTTGAACGTAGAGAATTGGTTGCTAGTTTATTACTCTTTTAGTTTTTAGTAGTAGGTTACCTCAATCTATCTCCAATATTTGATTTAAAATTGTATCTACAGCTTTTATGCTTTAGTCTTCATTCTTAAAAGTTTAAGTCTCAGTCTCACCATTGATCTTAAACCCTTAGTTTTTGGTCTATACGTTCCGGCCATTACCCTTTAATCATTCGACTTTAAGTTTTACTTTTTAATCTTAATCTTTTAGTCTTAGGTTTTTAGTGCTTACACTTTAGTGTTTGATCTTTTGTCTTTAATTTACGATTTTTATTTTTTATTCTTCGGTCTTTACTCATCAGTCTCTGATTAATTTTAAGTCTCTAGTTTTCAGTCTTTTCTTTTTGGTCTTTACTTCTAGACCTTAGTGCGTGGTCCCTAGTTTTTGGCTTTCGGCCTTTAGTGTTTAGGCTTTCATTGTCAGTCTTCAGTCTTTTGTCATTGGCTTCTGATGTTTGTACTTTTTAGTCTTTACCTCTCGTCTTCTGTATCTTTACGCTTTAGTACGAAGTCTTCAATGCACTAAGAACTAAAAGCTAATTGGACACTATAGGCTGAGAAAAACAGACTACTGACTAAATACTAAAGACTAAAGACTAAGGATGATTGACTAGAGGGTAGAGACTCAAAACTAAGAACTAACGATTCAGTATTAAAAACTTAATATTGAAGATCAGAAAGTAATTTTTATCGGACTCAGCGTTAAAAACTAATATAGGAATGGTGCTTCATCAATTCCGAAGTTAAAAGCCTATTCAAGCTGGGCGTCCCCAGCCATCCCTCTAAAGTGCAGGCATACAATTTTGTAAACCTATGTAGTTTTTTGTGTTTATTAGACCTTTCAGTTATTCTGGAAAGCAAATTGTAGACTATTGTGCATTATTCAGTGAAACTTCTAAGTAAAGTATGATGATAAATGCTTTAAAAAAAGTGACAAATTTCGACTGTTATGTAAGATGTACCTAAGGCAGAGTTTAAGTTAAAAAAACTTGTACACTTTGTATACACCATTCGATAGAAAATTGAACGATGGTGACGACTAGACTAGCCCGGCCTTTGAAAATTATTTACATGTTGATACATTAGAAAAATTAAAAACAATGCTCAGTGATATAGAAAAAGCACAAGATCTTGCAACTGATTTACAAGTAAGCTTGTTTTTTATGAGGAAATCAAGTCTCACTTGTTTTTTATCTTTTGTGTTTAGAATTATTCATATCGTTCGTATGAAGGTTTCACCTGTTTATTACAAATTTCAACTCGTACAACTGATTATATTGCTAATTGTTTATAACTGAGAAAAGAATTATGTTTTAAATAAAATAGGTATGTAGTGTGAGTTTTATTCGTTTAAAGACAGATCACAGACACAGTGTTTGCATAGTTAAGCTGACTGGGTAAAAAGTACAGAAACTACTGAAAAGTCGGTTTATTGCTCTTGTCCACCCCCATGTTAATACTTTCTTTCTCTACACTTCCAGGACGATTTTCGCACCTACGGTTCTCGTTACTCAGAATCGTAGAAGATCTTGACAAAAATGACAGATAGTGCTCACAATGAATGTGACACATTCAAAATTATTTTTTTCGATATTCCTTTTAATTATTGTGTAATTACTCACCAAAAATATATAATATGTTAAATAGAACATTCAGATACATGACTCATTCAACAGATAATAGGAATCTAATTATTCGTATGATGATTGTGTGTAGAAAATAGGGATGTGCGGTAACCGGTAAATCCGTTTACCGTTACCGCGGTAATCTCGTTTTTTGGTAAATTCATCTTACCGTTATCGCGGTAAATTTCGTACGGTAAGAACTCTTTTACCGTTACCGATTTTTTGTCTCGGTAAAAAAACTATTACCGTTCATTTTTCCGGTAAATTTTTTTTACCGTTGTCTCGTTTCAATAAATGTTGTTTGCTTCTGTTTGTGTTTCTAAATGTTCTTCAGACAAATTAATAAAAGTAATCTGAGTCATGAACAACAGTTCAAATTTCGACGCTACATATTCTTTTTCTATTCTAAAATATCGTCGATTAGAATTAATTAAAGTTTGTCTTTCAGGAACATACTATAGCTAAACCCATTAGGTTCGAGATTAACACGATTCTGCATTAATCGTCCAAATATACTAAACGCTCACTCTCACCCAAATGCAGAATGCATGAATTTATATCACCGCATGGTCAGAATTAAAAGGGAATAAAGAAATAAAAACAAAATAAAAGACGTAAGTTCGGTAAAAACAACTTTACCGGAGAAAACTTCGATAAAAAGTATTTACCGGACCTTCGATAAAAATTTTTTTACCGTTACTGCGGTAATCTCGTTTTTCGGTAAATTCATCGTACCGTTACCGCGGTAAAAAGGCTTTTACCGTTACCGACGGTAAATTACCGGTTACCGCACATCCTTAATAGAAAACGACTAGATTTTGGGAAGTTTTTCGAAAATTTATAGAGTCTAAAGAAATCAATCTAACTAGCCACTTTCTCTGTTTAGATGCTTCATGGTGGTGATTGTGATGTAGTTTGCTTACGGAAAGACTTTGATGGGAATATTGTCAATGTATTCGATACCTATCACGCTGCCAAATGATTGAATTTGCCTACACTTTCTTAGGTTTCAATTACTATGTCTCTCGTTTTCTCCTATCAAATGAAGATTGAACAAGAAAAAGAAAACACTATTGACATATATAAAGTAGAAATTTTCTAGATTAAATGATTCCTGAACCTCGATTTTCAATCAGAATAATAAATCAATAAAATAAGACGAATTAGGAACCCATGGCACATAGGCAGGCTATCATTTTTTTCTGACGTCCTTTGATAACATCAGGATTCTTATTCGCGGTTTTCCTCTCTGCTCTGCTTATTCGATGAAGCACAGCCCATATATTCTATCGCGTCAGTAAACGCAGCAGAAACCAACGCAACTAAACGAGTTAGTTAACAACATTAGCGCATTTGACCGCGTTGGTTTGCTAACCTGTTAAAACGCACCGCAAACTTACGCAAACAAACGCATTAGGCTATCAAATAATGATCCTGCTTAACACATTGGTAATTAATGCACCTTAACGCATCCGGTTTTTCTAACGCGTTAGATTTAAATGCTTTTCGATGCGTTAATAGTTCATCAACGCGTCAAAACGCGTTGATTTTCACCAAAAACGCGTCAGAACACATTACTCGTCCACACTAACGCGTTTCAACGCACGCTGACTCAGAAAAAGGCTTGCCTAGGTAATCAAGTAACTCAATGTTTTAGTAGAAAACGTTCATGCTAAGATGCACCGAAGGCCGAGTTTAAGTTAAAAAAACTTGTACACTTTGTATACACCATTCGACAGAGAATTGAACGGTGGTGACGACTAGACCAGCCCGGCCTTTCAAAACCTTTCCTTTGCTGAGATCCAAAGGAAACACTTGGATATTGTAAAAAAACTTCATTTTCCCCCACTTTTCGTAAAGCGCTCCCGTTTTTTCCCCTTGAGGTTTTGAGCTTTGCAACCAAGTTTTTCAGATTCAGCATTTAAAACTGAATCTAGAAAACTAAGTCTCAATGCACTAAACCACCAAACCTCTTCCCCAGAAATTTTTGAAAAAGTGTTGGCCCACTAAGACATAGCGATTTTGCAAACCCTTAGGCTTTTTGTGGAGCATGCTAGCGCTTCAATCGTCACACTGTTAGATCCGCTGAGTGTGCCTCTTCAAACTAATGAAGAGATTTTTTCGAAATTCCTTTTCATCGCTGAGAAAAATCATTTTTTTGAAATCAGAGACGAAAGAGTCGGAATTTTCCAATTTTCTCGATCGGAACTTAATTTTTGAGCAATAAAAATATCATATTCGGGATCAGGATCAAAAACCGAGTCGACTGATGTGTATTTCGAAATGTTTAGTTGATTTCGAGTTTTGGTGAAAATTGCCATACCTCAATGAGGTATGACAAACCTCAACAGGATTCATGCTCTCAGGTCTTTGTTTCCGAGATATCGAATTTTTAAGTTATGCGTAAAACAATCTTTGCAAAGTTCCGTGCAGTGCATCTCCGATAAA